TCCTTTCTCGTGTGCCCACACATCCAACGAAGCATCCTCATCTCCGCTACACCCATTTTGTGTACGTGTTGATGTTTCACCGCCCAACATTCTGTGCCATACAGCATCGCCGGCCTTATTGCCGTCCTATAAAATTTTCCCTTGAGCTTCAGTGGCATACGGCGGTCACACAACACGCCGGATGCACTCTTCCACTTCATCCATCCAGCTTGTATTCTATGGTTGAGATCTCCATCTAATTCTCCGTTCTTTTGCAAGATAGATCCTAGGTAACGAAAACGGTCGCTCTTTGGTATTTCTTGATCTCCGATCCTCACCCCTAACTCGTTTTGGCCTCCATTTGCACTGAACTTGCACTCCATATATTCTGTCTTTGATCGGCTTAGGCGAAGACCTTTAGATTCCAACGCTTCTCTCCAAAGGTTAAGCTTTGCATTTACCCCTTCCTGAGTTTCATCTATCAACACTATATCGTCTGCGAAAAGCATACACCAAGGAATATCATCTTGAATATGTCCTGTTAACTCATCCATTACCAACGCAAAAAGGTAAGGACTTAAGGATGAGCCTTGATGTAATCCTACAGTTATGGGAAAGCTTTCGGTTTGTCCTTCATGAGTTCTTACGGCAGTCTTTGCTCCTTCATACATATCCTTTATAGCTTGGATATATGCTACTCGTACTCCTTTCTTTTCTAAAATCCTCCAAAGAATGTCTCTTGGGACCCTATCATACGCTTTTTCCAAATCTATAAAGACCATGTGTAAATCCTTTTTCCCATCTCTATATCTTTCCATCAATCTTCGTAAGAGATAGATTGCCTCCATGGTTGAGCGCCCTAGCATGAACCCGAATTGGTTGTCCGAAACCCGTGTCTCTTGCCTCAATCTATGCTCAATGACTCTCTCCCAGAGCTTCATTGTATGACTCATTAGCTTAATACCCCTATAGTTCATGCAATTTTGTACGTCGCCCTTATTCTTGTAGATAGGCACCAAAGTGCTCGTTCGCCACTCATTTGGCATCTTCTTCGTTTTCAAAATCCTATTGAAAAGGTCAGTGAGCCATGTTATACCTGTCTCTCCCAAAAGTTTCCACACTTCGATTGGTATATTGTCTGGGCCTATTGCTTTTTTTATGCTTCATCTTCTTCAAAGCTACAACCACTTCTTCCTTCCGGATTCGACGATAAAAAGAGTAGTTTCTACACTCTTCTGAGTTACTCAACTCCCCTAAAGAAGCACTCATTTCATGTCCTTCATTGAAAAGATTATGAAAATAACCTCTCCATCTGTCTTTAACCGCGTTCTCTGTAGCAAGAACCTTTCCATCCTCATCCTTGATGCACCTCACTTGGTTTAGGTCCCTTGTCTTCTTTTCCCTTGCTCTAGATAGTTTATAGATATCCAACTCTCCTTCTTTGGTATCTAGTCGTTTATACATATCGTCGTAAGCCGCTAACTTAGCTTCTCTGACAGCTTTCTTCGCCTCTTGCTTCGCTTTTCTATACCTTTCACCATTTTCATCGGTCCTCTCCTTGTATAAGGCTTTACAACATTCCTTCTTAGCCTTCACCTTTGTTTGTACCTCCTCATTCCACCACCAAGATTCCTTTTGGTGTGGGGCAAAGCCCTTGGACTCTCCTAATACCTCTTTTGCTACTTTTCGGATACAACTAGCCATGGAATCCCACATTTGGCTAGCTTCCCCCTCTCTATCCCACACACATTGGGTGATTACCTTCTCTTTGAAAGTGACTTGTTTTTCTTCTTTTAGATTCCACCATCTAGTCCTTGGGCACTTCCAAGTCTTGTTCTTTTGTCTTACTCTTTTGATATGTACATCCATCACCAACAAGCGATGTTGATTAGCCACGCTCTCTCCTGGTATAACTTTGCAATCCTTACAAGTTATACGATCCCCTTTCCTCATTAGAAGAAAATCTATTTGTGTTTTTGACGACCCACTCTTGTAGGTAATCACATGTTCTTCTCTCTTCTTAAAGAAGGTGTTGGCTAAGAAGAGATCATATGCCATTGCAAAATCCAAGATAGCTTCCCCATCCTCGTTTCTCTCCCCAAAACCATGGCCACCATGAAAACCTCCATAGTTGCCTGTCTCCCTGCCCACGTGTCCATTTAAAATCCTCCCTATAAATAACTTCTCCGTCTGAGCAATTCCTTGCACCAAGTCTCCAAGATCTTCCCAAAATTTCTCCTTCGAACTCGTATCCAACCCTACTTGAGGTGCGTACGCACTAATCACATTGATAAGTTCTTGTCCTATTACAATCTTGATTGCCATGATTCTATCTCCTACCCTCTTGACATCTACAACATCTTGTACCAAGGTCTTGTCCACGATGATGCCAACACCGTTTCTCGTTCTATTTGTGCCCGAATACCAAAGTTTAAACCCTGAGTTTTCTAGATCCTTTGGCTTACTACCAACCCACTTAGTTTCTTGTAGGCACATAATATTTATCCTTCTCCTCACCATAACTTCCACTACTTCCATAGATTTTCCCGTTAAGGTTCCTATATTCCACGTTCCTAAACGCATTTTTCTCTCTTGAACTCTACCCTTCTGTCCTAGCTTCTTCACCCTCCCCCGTCTAATAGGATCAAAGTACTTCTTTTGTGTGTCCCGGGTAAAGTTGATAGGAGCATATGCTCCCAAACAACTTTGAGTGGAGTCGTTCGAAAAGAAGTTTCTATGGCCCCTTTGCTCATTTAACACTGCATCCGGGTGCCGATGGAGATACAGCGACCCTTGCTCACTTATCACTGTGCTCGGGCCACACAGCGCGCCACTTACGGGTGACGCCCTAGCTTTAGCGCGATTTTGTTCTGGATTCATTTTCATAAGGATTCGACGTGATCATGGAGTGCCGGCTGTCGACTACCTGACGCCCTCCCCCTCCTCCTTTATCCGGGCTTGGGACCGGCCATGTAAGACATGGGCGGAGTTAATCTTTCGGAACTACATTGATCAATTTTTAATTTTATGGACTATTTTGATGTAGTGGGTCAATGGGACTATTTTGACGTCGTGGGTCAATTTCAAGGATCATTTGTGATGAAAAAAATACTTATGGGGCCCATTTATGTGTCACATCAACATTTAACAAAGTTTTTAATATAACTGTAAACAATATTGATTTGCGACACCTATTTTAAAGAATAATATTAATTGATTTTCAATTTCAAGAACCATATATGAAAAAACCCTTATCAGATTTAATCTTAAAAGAGTGGGGTCTACTCACCAGCGGCATTGACGTTATCCACGATGTGGTAAATATTGTCCTCGTTGATTTCTCCCTTCTGCTTGGCTTCGAGGATGTGGTCAATGGCGCACTTCAACCCTTCATCTGTTGTAGCCTGTGTGCTTGTATGTTTCCTGCTCGAAAATTATAAAAGTTGAGTCAGACTAGCGATTTTCACACTTTTTAGTTGTCGCATATCAAATTGCAATCACAGCCAATGATAAATGTTAGTAATTGTCATGCTACTAACGTTGATGATGCTAGAAAGATTGTCCTTTAGATCATACTAGCAAAAGTGCCCGCGCGATGCTGCGGGTTTTAAAACTGTATAAAATACGTAGAAAGTTATAATGTGTATATACACTATTTTGCATATATATGGGACTCTATTTACAACCCTAAAGAAAGGTTTCAACTTCCACATAACAAAAACAGTTGGCACAAATCTTACTAAGAATTCTAATATATATGAAGGGATCCCGTAGATGACATTGTATTAAGCATAAACTGACCAACACAAACCATACAATTGATATTCACATCAATCAGCTAACAGTACTTTGTGAAAATAGATAAATACAAAAATTATAGATCTTGGTTTATACATTTGTTGCATAAACTTGAACTAATAAATGAACCTCAAAGTTATCAGCAGTGTTTAAATTGGAAATAACAGATTCATAGGAGTTTGTCCAATTATATTCAATACCAGTAAAGCATACCATGACACCATGTTACAGGGAACAAAGAAAAAATTATATAAACAATTGAAACAATACAATTGTAAATGTAAGTTATGTGATCTATGGTTAAAAAGTATGTAAACGACCTGGATATCAAGAAATTAAAAGTAAGTTAAAATTATATAACAATTTGGCCAAAATGAGAATGTAGAATTAAAATTAGTAAAAAATTATGGACAAAGATCAGTTAAAGTACTGTAACAACACGTGAAAATAGCAAAGATGGAAATTGATGTATCATTTGACAAAATGAAATGATGTGATGTTCAAAGATTGGAAAAGCATTGTAAAAAGTACCACAACACTAAATTGCCAATTTCTTCCCCAGAATGATACGTTTTAGATCCCATGGAGAAGGTCCAAAATGAAGGTTTCTTTCTACTCATAATTTTACTCAAGAAATTACCACAACATCCTCCTTTTGCCAACTACATTGTTGAGAATTTGGAGATTACAAAGTCACCAAAAGACTCCAAATAACTTCTTGGATGAAAACAATAGCTTTCCCAAACAACTCCACCTCTGCAAATTTGTTAGTTTTAGTTGTTGGCCAGTTCTTGCATCCAAGACACCAACCCCCTAATCCCCTGCTCTAACCCACCAATTATGAGAGAGAGAGAGAGAGAGACCCAATTAAAAAATTTGGAAAGAGAGGAGAACCAACATTTCTCTTCTAATACACACCCAAATTTGTGATCCACATTTAATATCAATTTCGTCTCCCTAGGAGTGCAAGAATGCTCAAAAAATTATAGCAATGGAAAAAGCAGGCAGGATTATCAGAAAATGAGTAGAAAAAAACCTTGAGGCATCCATCTAAATGAAATCCCACAAAGCAAAGAAACATTTGATAAAAGCACAACTGTCTTATCAAATTTTGAGATATCAACCGAAATGAATTCACACAAAATCAAACTCAACAAAAACACAAATTCCAATGATTTAAATAAGAAATGCATACAGAATAATGAAGAAGTGGAGGCAGGGAAACCATACCCAAAACAACGGTTCCAGCTCCTGCCAAATTTCAGATTTTTCAACAGAGGACGTCAAAGGCAGAATCCTCTTTTAGCCAGCAAAGCCTCGAAAACACTACAATTCACCGTAAAACCAAACCGTTAGGGTTTCGTTCGTTCAAATCAATAAAAATCCAAAATACAAAAAAAATCACACACAGCTATTATAAAACGCACCTGGGTTCAATGGAATTTATCGGACAATAACCTGAAAACAGGCCGTTCCCAAACTGGGCTGAAAATTCGTCGGAAATCCGGCGACAACACCGGTATGACAGACGCAAAAAGAGACACAAAGTTTTCCCAGCGATTGCAAGTTCAGGATAAAACCTTGGAAACCAATTTTATGAGTTTCCACAGAACGTCAACAAATCTACGTTCACAGGGATGCACGACTTCTTTGAAAACGGAGACCGCAAACAAAATCCCAAAAAACCAAAAAGAAGGAACGCATGATTTTACAACAAAGGATAAAACTTTAGAGGCCAATTTCGTGAATATTTTGTGAAATAAAGTACAGAGGATTTGAGAGGAACGCAAGCTTTTAGAAGAACAGAACGCAAAATAAGACGGATCGAAGCAGAGATCGGCGAGAGAGAAAAGCCAACAGAAAGGTAAGGGGAAGAAAAAACCTAATTGAAGGCTAAAGAAGTAGGACGATGGACCCGTGCCCAACATGGGCAAAAAGGCCATTTCACTGCACCAATAAGAGAACAGAACGGGGTACCAAGAAGAAATAGAGGGCAATTTCGCCATTTCACTGTTAATGAACAGTGTTAAGAAACTGAGTTTTAGTATATATAATTTAAGATCACATATTGTGACGACACAGATGATACTAGAGAGATCATCTTTTAGATCATATTTAAGAGCACTAATTGTGATGATTAAATTCCTTCATTAAATAAAATATAATTTAAAAAAAAATTTAAATAAAGATTTATTAACTAAAATAGTCTGTAAATTTGACATAACTCCTTACTGAGATCACTGAGATTTGAAATTGATAGAGTAATCTCTGAGTTCGTATACCATAACTTATTTGGGTTATTTCGTAAAAATTTATGTTAAATAATGACAAAAAGGCTTTCAATTTTAATAAACAATGAGCCAAAATAATTTGACAAAATTTGAGAATATTTTTATCATTTTATTCTTATTTAATACAAATTTTCCACAAAAGAAAAAAAACTAAAATGATCACAAAGGATCGCTCAAAACTCATAAACCAAAATGAGAAATTGTGATAATCTCATGAACTATTATTATGAAGTGTTATTGACACTTCAAAAATCTCATTATACATTTCTCACAAATGTATTTTCTTTCCTAAAATAGAAAGTTTAGAATGTGTGTAATGAGATTTTTTTAATGCTAATAACAATTCCTCTATTATTTTACCTAAAAAGCCAAAATAAACCGAAATAATAAAAGTAAGGCAACTCATAAATAAAATGAATTAACTTACTTCCTCTCGTCAATGAAATGGTCCTTAAAGAGCAGCATCCTCTTCTCCGTCACTTCCTTGCAGATCTTCAAATACCCTCTCAAAAAGGGCCTTAAAATCGGGATAAAATCGCCGTAGTTGTAATCGAAGCTCTGCGCCAATTGGCTCCTGTCCCCGTTCGATCGCTTGAGCTTCACGAACAGGGGATCCTCCTCGCTCTCGAATCGCCGATCGAACATGATTTTGTATACGTTGTTGTACATCATCAGCTGCAGCCGCTTCCGCAGCACCATCCCACTGGTCGCCGCCTCAGGGTGCTTTTTCACGTCCTCAACGACCGCCGCCGCCTCCGATTCCCATCCCTGGCGGTACTGCTGGACGACCTTGTTGGTGAAGAAAGGAACGGTCATGATCCGCCTCATTTTCCGCCAGTGCTCGCCGTAGACGGTGAACACCATGTCCTGGCCTTTACCGGTGAAAATATCAACGACGACGTTTCTGGTCCTCGACCCAAATTCGACTCCCTGGGTGTGGAGCACCTCCTTGGCGAGCTCCGTCGAGGAGACGACGACGAGGTTGCGCTGTCCCATTCGGAGGAGGAAGCAGTCGCCGAATTTCCTGGCGAGGTCGGAGAGATTACGGTGGTTGAGGTCGTCGCCGACCTGGAGCCAGTTTCCGAAAACAGGTACGGGCATGGGACCCAGCGGGAGCTTGAATTTCTTGCCGCGGAGTTTTGAAATGGCAATGGCGACTATCACCGCGACGAAGAGACCCAGAAGGGTATTTTCCAGGAGGAAGAGGTCCATTTTTGTGCGTGCGTTGGTGTGGTGAGTAAGCGAAATGCTGAGAGTAGTGGTGGGGGAGTGAAGTGGTTTATTGGTGGTTTTGTGTTTCGGGGACGTCAGGTGGGTTAGAGTCCAGATTGTACCACTGAGTTTGTAGAGTGATCAACTAGAAAATATGATTTGGAATTTATAGACTGCGGCTTGTCGCTTGCATTATTGCATGAAACACGAGTGGATGACTTACATGAATGAATAGCGGCTTGTCTGAATAATTAACTTTTTCTTTAGCATACGACAGCAGTGACGATGAATGGTTTTGTTCGATTACTGTTTGACTTTTGCCTTGGATGAATAGTGACTGTGAATGATTGATCCTAATTTTTTTAAGAGTGATGTTATACTTATCACATATTTATACTATTATTTGTACCGTATCTCTAATAAAGATAAACCACCAATAAATGTGGATCTCATTTTATTTGAGAGATAGTACTAGTGATATATAAACAGGAAGAGGATCCGGTCTGGATCTCTCCTATGAAAGGCCCAGGATCAAGCGATTTAGGCCGTTGAAATTTGATCAAATGATTACAAATAGAAAGCCCCTCTAAAGTTATAGTAATTGTAACCGTTGAATCAAATTTCAATAGTACAGATTATTTGATTCTGGGCCTTTGATGGGAAAGATTTGGACCAGATCCTCTTTTGTATAAACATATGATAAGAGTGCTTTTTCTTTTTTTTAATCTTCGGCAAGATCATATGGGTCTTAGGCATCTTAGGTCATCTCTAACCGAGGGCTGGCCAGAGGGCTCGTTTGAGCCATCTGGCCCTCCAAGATTCCTCAAGATATTAATATTTTAATGAACAGTACAGGGCCATATTTGCCTCCGTCTCCAACCGAGGGCCAGAGGGCCAAAGGGCTCATTTTAGCCATGTCACAAAAAACCGTCTCCAACCGAGGGTCATAGGGCCAAACATAATTTATTATTTAAATTTAAAAACTACAACAACTTAAATTTAAAAACAACAACTTATATTTAAACACTACAAATTAAATTTAAAAACTACAAATTAAATTTGAAGGAAATATTATAGATGAAGGAAATATTGAAGGAAATATTGCAAATGAAGTGAAGAAATATTATAGATGAAGGAAATATTGAAAAATTGAAACAAATATTATAGATGAAGGAAATATTGGAAAATATATTGAAGGAAATATTGAAAAATTGAAACAAATATTATAGATGAAAGAAATATTGGAAATATATTGAAGGAAATATTGAAGGAAATATTGAGAAATATATTGAAGGAAATATTGAAGAATATTGAAGAAGGAAATATTGCAAATGAAGTGAAGAATTGAAAGAACTTCACCATATTTATAGAAGAAAAGAAATGTTTAAAATTAAAAAAATTAAAAAAAATAAAAAAAACCCAACGGCTAGCTGAGTCAGCTAGCCGTTTGTTGACCCTAGAAACTACAAAGCCTACGTGGCGCGCAGGCCGAGTAATTAATGAGCTAACTACGTCCTTCGGTGAATGCGGGGCGTGCCAACTCGTCGGCCGAGCTCGACCGAGGAGTAAATTTGTTGATGTTGCGTTGGGTCGCGCTACTGACTTCTGCGTCTTGCGATTGCGGCCGAGAAAGGAACACGTCTCGGCCTCTTGGGCTCTCGAACCTGAAGACAAGGTTACTATTCTTACGAAGTTCAATATCAAATTCGGCTTTCAATGTGCCGAATGTAATAACTGTAACACCTCACTTCGCCGAGAAGGCTGATGAGATGACCTCGACCAATAAGGATTTAGAAACCCTTCTCGACCGAGACTTGGATAGGTAATCAATCGTTCTCGCCGCAGTGCTGTTGATGCCAACGGAAGATACTGCGAGACCGACTGACTCTACGGTGACAGAGCTATCTATGCCGACTTAAGATATCACCGGTTGCTTCCACAGTGCTGTTGATGCCAACGGAAGATGTGTCAGCGAAAAAGGAAAAAGAAAGATCACAAGTTGTGAGAGTTTGCGCAGGGCAATTTTGTATTGATTTTGTGGGGGCTTTGAGATGTGCAACCTCTTCTATTTATAGCAATGGCTCCCCTCAAGGTCGAGTTAACAACCTACTCGGACTAGGTTTTCTTTCCCTGATCAACATCAACTCGACCAGTCCTACCTTTATTAGGACTGTGAACCTAGTCCTTTACCTGAGCCGGATTCGCTTCCGGGTCCTGCCGAGACTCCTTATTGCACTAGGTTTCGACCTCTTGCGTTATGACCTAGCCGACCTAGGTTTGGAGGCCCACATACTGAACGATCCATGGTATTCTTGCCGCAAGGCCTCCAGGGCCGAGAATGACCCTACACTCGGCCCAAACTGTTATTTTGGGCCCAAACATTGCCCCCTCGCTTCTGAGGTCCTCAGCCTGAATTCTTTGGCCGAGTTTCGGCCTTGAAGAAGCGAATCTGTCACTCAGAACCCTAATGCCCGAGTTCCAAGGTGCATTTATTGAACACGATTGCACGATCTTGATCCTGCTAACCAAACTTGCCACGTGGCGTCCTTTAATACGGCCAACCCTAATGATGACGTCCAAGGCGTGCGGCTGCCTTAACCGTCGACATTATGACCACAATCTCAATCCGCGAGCCACTTTCTCAGTTCGTGAGCCCACTTGTCATCGTGCAGGCGTCGAAACGTCTTCCGCCATTAATTTCGCCGTCACACGCAATCGTGCGCCCCCAACATCTGAAACCTTCGGTCTTCTCAACTGCATTTCCCAAATGTTCATCATGATCAGCGATTCGTTCGGTCGATTTTGCCCCTTTGTTTTGAATTTCGAACGATTGCTCTTCCCTCCACAACCCTATAAATACCGAAATTCTCTCATTTGTACTTTACGCTCCCAAAATTTTCTGAAATCCCTTGCTATTGCTCTCTAGTGCATTCCTCTATTCCAAGTCTTCGTCTTCAAACCCCCAACCCAGAAAATCCTTTTTACGCCGTGATTCTTTCTTATAATGGCGTCCTTCATCTCCAAGCTTTCCAAGGAATGTGACCAGCATCAGAAGATTCTTGATCGGAGCTCGATCAAGACTATACGGTTTGAAAATGACATGAGCACTCAACACCAGATCCTGGGTCCTTTCTTCAAGGCTGCAATACCGCCGACCATCACCGGCCTCCTCCAGGAGCACTGCCTAACACCCTTGTTTCAAGGGTTTGAATGGTCGCGATGGGACGTGGCGAAACCCTAGGGCTCCTGGCCCTCGACGACCACAACCTGGGCAGCCTGGGTCGTTCGAATGGAACGGCTCTTCGGCGATCAATGGAAGGCACTCACTCGGCATCTACGACGCCATCCTCCTCTCGTCCATGGATGTCGTCCTCGACAAGGAGCTTC